GATTGCAAATCCCAATCTCATAGTAAAGACAGAGCCCTTGAAGAAAAGGATGAACAGGAACCCCAAATCCCCGCTTAAAGAAGTCCTCGAACACCACGATCTCACCTAGTTGTGGATTGGGGTACCCCTTGCCCTCCGGCGCATGCCATCCTGCGAGCTCCTTGTTGTGGAGTACTCCCATGGTGATGAGGTCTTCAATGGTCTGCTCATTACTTCTCGATTTCCACCACTCCTTCGCCATGACTCCGGCTTTCTTCTGCGCGTCGCTTTTCACCATGAATCTGGCCTTGTTGATGAACGAGGAACTGGCAGAGGATTGATTGGTATTAGGGTAGGCAAGAGGAAGAAGATGGGTGCGGCTGTGAATGGCAATGGGGTACGGTAAAAAGTAACTTACCTATCCTATACTGTATTTAACCCAAGAGTTGTGCCGTTTTGTTTGCCCGAGATTCTTGGGAGACGTGCGCACGCGCCGCAGACGGTTATTTTCACAGCCTCGAGATCTATGCCAATATATGCGCCTCTTCGTTACCAGTGTGAGAGGGCCCACGCTGACGCACCTACTAACAGGTGCCACGCAACTGTTTGCTTGAAAAGACAAGAAGGCAGTATGATGTGCTATACCCGTCTACTTTTTTGACCAGACATGTCAGATTGGACTTGACAGGGCAAGTAATTCAATACAAAAGATACTAGTACCAGTGGCATATGGTTTTCGCCGCACTTCTCATGCTCGGGGACTGCCCCGACCACCGTCGTGCTCGGGGACTGACCAGACCACCGTCGTGCTCGGGGACTGACCAGACCACTATCGTGCTTGGGACTGTTCCGATCACCCTCATGCTCGGGGACTGCCCCGACCACTCTTCGAACATTGCTTGGAGACAGCTCTCCTCAGCTACAAGCGACTTGTACTCACATACAGTTGAGAAGCATTTACTTAGACCTTGCTACAAGGCTCATACCTCGCCTTCCAGCAAGCTCGAGGACTACATCGGTACGATGCACCTACCGGTGCATCTCGTCTCGCCTGTACGACGATTGGATTCTCAATTTAACTAGGAATTCTTTTTAGACCCTGGCACCATGTGCCTATGTCACCTACTACCAGGCTTGGGGACTAAGTGGGCACACTTCACCTTGCGGTGAATGTGTTTATTTTATCGACCCCTACGCTCTGACTGTTGGCTCGAACTATTATTGTCCAAGGGTTACTTACATTTCTTTTCAGAAATACAAGTGGGCACACTTGATAGGGAAAGAAATCTTTTTCTTTTTTTTAGAGCACCATGCATTCTTCGGACAACCGGAATCTTCGGCTATAATCGTGGTCTACTGCTTTCTGTCCTGACCAGAATACTGGCACATTCGCTTGGTCAATGTTTCAACTAGTTAGAGATGACATGAAGACGGGTCGCATTAGCTGAAGGAGATCGAACGGCGTGTCGCAACATAATACATGGTGCTCGGGGACTAGCTCTGGGGGTATTAACCCCTATACCCTTACGGCTAGGCTTGGGCCGGCCCGGACCAGGGGGTCTGGCCCACTAGAAGACAACGCATGGCTCGGCCAATCTGTTTGGAGTCTCGCGCAAGGAATCAAGGCAGATTTGGAGATCAAGCAAGATCCTGGTCGGTTAGAATAGGAATCCTTATCCGGCCACCTATGGCAATTGTAACTGGTTAGGATTAGTTTCCAGATCTCTAACCCTGTCCCCTAGACTATATAAGGCGGGCAGGGGACCCCTCTAGAAAACACATCTCATTGATATACAGCAATACAATCAGACGCAGGACGTAGGTATTACGCCCTCACGATGGCCGAACCTGGATAAAACCTTATGTCTGTCTTGCGTCATCATCTTGTTCGTAGCTTGCGCACCTGTCTGCCGATAATCTACTTCTTCGGCATACCCCTAGGTAGACTGCCGACCATATTTCGTCGACACCCTCGAGCTTACCAACACCCGGGAGGAGAGGTCCAAGATCGCTTGATGACCTCACCGCCCTACGCGACGAGAGGCCAATGACTCACCTGAAGCCTACACCCTCGAGCTCGCAGACACTCGAGAGGAGAGGTCCAAGGTCGCTCGATGACCTCGCCGCCCTACGCGATGAGAGGCCAATGACTCACTCGAAGCCTACATCCTCGAGCTCACAAACATAAAATAGGACCAAGTACCAGACCAACCTCGACCAAGGGACTCGAGTGGAAAGTCCCAAGGTTGCCCCACAACCTCACCACCCTATGTGGCGAAAGGTCTATGACACACTCAAAAAATCTTGGTTCGATACCAACAAGCCCAAATCTAGCCAAATGGCTCGGGGGCTCACGATGGCCTCGCAAAGCGCCACAACAACTCTAGAAGGAGGATTCCTTGAGCTTTTATTCATATCTCGTGATTACAAAGCGATGTGCGATCGATCCGCACACAAGGAATGCAAAACTAATACCACCACACCCTAGTCGTGGTATCATTGAAAAAACCCTCGAGAAGCAACACCACAGGGGAGGCGAGACGAAGCAAAAAACGAGCTCGTAGGCCCTCTCGTAGTGTCACAGCTCCTAGGGAACTGAGCACGGGGAAGAGGAGAGCGGCAAGAATGCCTAGCTCCAACAAGCACCTTGGCAACCACTCCGGTGCCAAGATAGAGCAAAAGGTAGGCCAAAGTGCAGCCATGTCACAAAGGCAACACTACCCCCTACACGGCAGCCACGCCATCCCTTCCTCCTCCTCTCAAAGATCCCTTCTAGCACCAGTTGACAAAGGGGCACCACCAGCTTTCGAGCACTACCTGCAACCCCCAGAGGGACATCTGACAAGAGCCACGCTATTCTCCTTGAACCTTTCTCTCCCATTTCCTCACTCTCTCAGCAGTAAGGTAGGGAACGATTCGTAATAGTCACAACCATGAGTGGTTCAAACGGTAGGAAGGTCTCCATTTATAAGCCAGGAACGGACTGAGCAGCCTAAAACCCCCACGCCGTGTGGTGAGCCACGGGAGGTCAAAGCCAAAGTCAGACGCCCACGTAAGGTCAGGAAATCAAGACCCTCTCAAAGGCAAGACTGGCACAGCGTCGACAAGACCACTCGGCCCCGCCCGGGTCACGAACCCCGAAACACGGCACACTTGCACGGCAAGGCTCAGTAGTCACGTACTATGTCGTCAGGGCGTCCTGACAAGGCCGAACGTAACGGCCACCTACCGCATTGAACGCACCAGCCCGCAAGGGGTCGAGCGATGAAGCTCGAATAAGCCATGACTACGAACCCGCACATGAATACACACGCATCTCAGCGCTTTCACGATTGCTTCGTGATCGCAAAAATGCTCGGGGGCTACTGTCGGGGTTATAACCCCAGGGTGCCTCAGGGCACTGATTAGTTAGCAAGCCGACCGGCCCACAATACATCAGCCAGCAAGAGCTCGAACGACCGAGGCCTAGCTGATCCAAGAAAACCAGGCCAAGCGCTAAGGCGGGGGCCGACCACGACCCCTTCATCTAACTTAGCCACACAGCGTACGAGAGACGCATGACCTCTCCACCGTCCCAACCCCTGGAAGGAACGGGGAGAGATCAAGCCCAGCCAAACGCGCCCTCTCTGACAAGAGCAGGCACGCCGTGCTGACCCCGCAAGGACTAAGGGGACAACGGTCACCTCAGTCCGGTTAGACTCCACCTCCGCATCACGCAATCCAGACAAGACAACACCGCCCAAGACGGTGACGGCCGGTACGATGACCACCATCCAAATACGGCCCGACAAGACGCATGTACGATCCCATCCACTACGGGATGAGATCCACGACGAGGGCCTTGATTTCGAGGCCAACCAGACCAACGAAAGCCACGACCCCAATGATCGGGATCGTGGCCCTCAGCTCCACAAGCCAACTAGGTGATCGACGACCCGGAGGCGGCTAGCAACTCCTATACGACGCCCTAAGAAAACAGAAGGCGATGACGAAAACCATGGTGGAGACCACGTCGCACAGGACGGCTGGCGAACCACCACCGTGCCTACAGTGCCGTCACGGCCGGCACAGTAGCACCATGCCACACCATGCCGCGATGTGGCCACAGGACCGTGACGACAACCATGCCCGGACGTGCACCACAAGACGGTGTAGCTTGCAAGCCAAGTTAGCTAGGACCTCCGTTAAGCTCACGACCCTTCGGTCGGGAGAACCCCCTTCTCTGTACACACCCTGACCCCGAACTCTGTATAAGGGCAGCCAGGGCACCCATCGGGGATAGATTCGGATCATCTACCATTTTACTCATTCTCCATCATAGTATGGCTCCTGGAGCTTCCCTTCAGGCAGTCCATCTCCTAGCTCTAGCTCTCCAACCTCTTCCACCATTCTTGCATCACCATTGTAGGAACTTCAGAGCATTCAAGCGAGGAACACGCACTCGATCATCTCTGAGACTGGACGTAGGGCTCCGGCCTGAACCGGTATAAATCCTCGTGTCATTTGGATGCTATCATCGTATTTCTAGAGCAGCGCGGCAATCGCATAAATTTACTACTCTGATTTACAAAACACCGACAAGTAGGTAGAACATGTCGGAATATGCCTTAGCTGTCACAAGGGCATTCTTTTACTCATTAAATGTTGTAACCGTATCCTATAAAAGGAGGAACTCGGTTTCCAATGAAAGAGAGAGGGTAATTCCGCGACTCGAGACCCTAAGTGTTGTCTCGGTAATCGTAATACAGCACGCCGAAGGCCTTCGCTTCCAAGTGAAGCCTTCGGTGATTGGGAGGCGAGCTGCAGCGCGCTCCCCCGTCTTTGTCTTGTCAAGACCTTCGATTCCCAACAATATACATAATACATTCTATTGCAGAAGCAAATTTGTAATTGGTGCGCTTTATTCTCTAGTTCCATGATACAGTGAGGAACTGGAACTTTGTTGATATTGATAGTATAGTATGATACGGTTTTATTCCGACATGCCTGATGCTGAGATGAGTCCCCATCGTTCCTTCAGTTCATGCCCTCGATGGGAGCATGCAGTTTCCGATCTCTGCAGGAAACAATGAGAGCAAACATTATCTCATCCTCTATTGAGTGCACAGAATCTTATCTTAATTACTAGTAGTATTCAGTCATGGCTAGAATCCTTTATTTGCGTAATTCTCTTCATCATTTTTTTGTTTCTTATTAGAAATAATTAAAAATAGATCATAGAAATTCACACAAAAAACATTGTATACTTTAATCAACATTGAAAATAATAGCTACGGCATATTCTATTTTCTAAAAAAACATCATATATGTCATTATAAAAGATGATTTAAACTAACCCCTAAATCAACAGCTAAGGTAGCCACATATTCCATATTATGAAATAAAAATATAAAGTAAGTCTAAATCTACACCTAAATTACCCACATATGTCATTACTAAAAATAATTTATAGTAACCTTTACCCACCTCTATCCTTATTAAAAAAATCAAAATCCTCTCAAATTAACTTATAATATACCAGCATTTTTATTGTGAAAAAATAAATAATCATAAAGTAAGACTTATATATGTTTCTGAATATCCATTTCTACCGCTATATATATGTTTTTAGGTGCCCACTTCTACCATTTGACATTAGAAAAAACTGGCTCAAAGTAAGGTGTATGCCGTAAAGGAGACCAAATATACATGCATGCATAATATAAGCAATATAAACATTTTTATAGTTAGTAGTCATGAAAATTGTTTCCTTCATAAACACGTACCAGTAACACTGACAATTTCTATTAAGATAAGTATCTCTTAATGCAATGTCGTGGGGGAGTATTTCCTCCACATGTCGAATATTTTTTGTTATATCAGTATTTCATGACAATAAATTATATAAACTGTTTACTTTAGATAAAATTATATATTTTGAATGAGACATTGTGACAATTACATTGATTCATTTACCTGTAACAATAATATTTTCATTAAAAAATATTCACACACATAATTGTTTGATAGAAGAATTTAACGAAATGATTGCCTATACGAAATAATTGTTTGGTCAAATTTAAGATGGTTTGACTGTCTATAAAAAAGTTGGAATGGCTTATAATTTAGAATAGAGTGAGTATTATTTATTAAACATAATGTATATCTCTAACTATCTAAGAGTATGGTAAAAGCTACGTACCTAGATAAGCCAAAGTGTTATTTAATTTGGAATGGAGGGAATATATAGGTGTGGTTGGAACTCACTTGGCGCCTGGTGGACAACGGAGGCAGCGCCGGCGAAGTCGCAGGTATCGCTGGCCCGGCCATTGCGCTGGTAGTAGCTGTTGAAGGCATGCGAGGCGTGCGCGGCCTTGGTGTTGGGTTCGAAGCACGTGGCACCGGGCTGGATGGCGCTGCAGTCCGCGCCGTGGCCGCACGCGTAGTCCAGCGCCGCCTGCAACCGCGCGTCCCCGACGGCCGCGTTTGCAACGCACCAGCTCGACTTGGCGTCGCAGGCGCCTATATGTATCTCTCGGTGAAGCCGCCATGGACGAAACACCGAACGAGGAACCAGAACTACGTGACATCATGTGCAAAGATGTGGCACTTACCGGCTGGTTCCTGGTAGACAACGGAAGCAGCGCCGGCGAAGTCGCACGTCCCGCTTGCCCGACCCTTGCGCTGGTAGTAGTCGTTGAACGCGTACGAGGCGTGGGCGGCCTTGGTGTCCGGCTGGAAGCACGTCCGGCCGGGCTGGATGGCGCCGCAGTCGGCACCGTGGCCGCACGCGTAGTCCAGAGCCGCCTGCAGCCGAGTCCCCAACGGCCGCGTTCGCCACGCACCAGCTCGCCTTCGCGCCGCCACCGCCGCCGCCGCCACCGCCACCACCGTGGTGGAAGTCGAATTCGTACACATTCTGCTCGTTCGGGTAGAACAGCCCGAAGTTCTGCTCGATGTCGTCCGGCCCGTCACCTTTCTGGTTCTCATTGAAAAGCGCGAAGATGTAGACGTCCATGTCCGCGTCGGGCCGGTGCGGGGTGCCTGTGTTGCCGGACAGCACGCGGTTGATGACGTTGTTGACGTACGCATGGGCATTGGCTACCGAGGCAACGGGGTACCCGTCGTCCCCGGCCATCAAATGCCTCCGGCCTCCGCGTGGCGGCCTCCGGCCGGGTTTGGGTCTTCCGCCCGACGGATGCCCAGTCTCCCCAACGTGTGCTTTCAAACTGGTAAACCCCAGGTCATCCATGGCATAGTACGTGGCGTCGAGCTGGGCGTCCAGGAGGCTGTATACGTGACGCCGCAGCCGTCGTCGTCGTCGAGCGTGAGGCCGGCCGTGTCGTCGTCGTCGACGCGCACTTCGGGGTTCGAGTTCCCCAGGGCGTAGTCGAGGGAGATTTGGTCGGGATGCTCGGCGTACGCCAAGTATGGGTAGATATTGATGGTGAGGTAGGAGCCCGTCCTCTGCAGGAAGCCGAGCATGGGCTTCATCACGCTCTGCGCGACGTCGTCCCGGAACCTGCCCGCGGACGGCGGGTACGAGTCCGTGACCACCGAGAAGGCGACCGGCGTGGACACCTCCACGGCGTCGGCCAGGCCCAGCTGAGCCAGCGCGTCGTGCACGTTGGCCATGGCCCGGACGAGGTCCGCGTTCAGGTCCGGCCTCGAGTCGAACACCTCGTTGCCCACGGCGACGCCGTGGATGCGCGTGGCCGGGTGGTACGCCGCCACGTTGCTCCGCGCCCACCGGAGCGCGTAGGATGGGTCGGAGGCCGCGGCGGCCAGCTCCTAGTTGCTAGTTGGGCAGCATCACCAGCACCTTGATGCCCGTGTTGGCCAGCGACGTCAGCACCTTGGCGTTGGCGTCTTACAGCCTCACCATGGTGATGCCGTTCTGCTTGAGCAGCTGCACCACCGACGCCGGGTCCGGCAGGTCGTTGGCCACCCTCCCGTAGTTCACGCCCACCTCGCCGCCGGCCTCTGCTGCACCGAGGAGGAGGAGTAGCGGCAATGCCACTCCGAGGAAGTGAGCGAGCGCCATGATAGGCTCCGCTGCTGTGGCGCGGGGCACTGGGCAGCAGCCGATTGATTGGGCTGAGCAGGACGAGGCTAGCTGCTGAGTCCTTATCAGTATGTGACGACGATGATACGTGAACCAAAGGTTGGGTAGGTGGGAATTTATAGGCAAGGTCTAGGCGCTGCATGCGATGCACAGTGGTGGGTCCCGCCGGCGGCGGCGAGCAACATGCAAGTGATGGCTAACTTTTGCGTTTAGCACGGGCAAAAGTGCACGATGCAGTAGCATATCTGTAGTGGTGGATAACGAATTGAACCCTGCCCAACCCACTTTCGCGTGAGTGATCCCCGTCCTGTCCAGCCCACTTATATATATATATATATATATATATATATATATATATATATATATATACTCTCTATCCTGTAGCTAGCTATAAAATAACTTTTTCTATAGCCACTTTTAGTTACGATAATTACTATATTAATTTACGAGATTAAAGTAACTCCTCCCTAAGTGGTTTACTATAACGTTATGGTAAATATCCTCATGTGTTATATTAATCCAACTATCATAAATATGTATTGACATTATCGTAAATTAGTATATAAAATTATCGTAAATAGAGGTGGCTACAGAATAACTTATTTTGTAGCTGGGCTGGCTACTGAATATATATATATATATATATATATATATATATATATATATATATATATATATATATATATATATATATATATATATATATATATATATATATATATATATATATATATATATATATGACGAGGCTAAAATGCACCCGACCGCGAGCGCGAGCGCGAGCGGCGAGCGAGAGACGTACCGGCCCGGATCAGACTCCACGCATACCGTCGCATTAACAAACTCCACGTTTGTGCATGCACAAAATAGATAGAGGCAACCAACCATGTGATGCCATGTCATAGGTTAACCCACCAACCAGGAAGCATGCATGTTGGGAATCTTTTTTAATTTGAAACGAAAAAATACGATATCTCATAAACGACAGATCCGATTTTAAATCCATTTGAACTAGATTGTTGGAAAAATGTGCTTAACAAAACGAGATCCATGAAGGCTATATTTGACGAAGTTTTTTTAAGTATGTAGTTGCATCTGTGTTATAGCGTGAGTTACAAGCACAACTACAACATAATTGCATCTTGGTTGTAGCCTAAGTAGCACTGCTTTGCAACTAGTTATAACCTGGTGTAACCCGGTTACTTCTAGTTGCAATTAGTCACTATTATGTTGCAACACAATTACTACACTGATTGCTACCAGATACGCTTGCAACTTCTACTGAATAGTGAGCAGATGTAACCAGATATAATTGCAACTTGACGTGATTATATTGAGCAGATGCAAATAATACACCGAGTTATAACTAGTTACGACTCGGTAGTAGACAAAGTTGCAATTGCTAGTACATAGATATGCAACTCGTTTAAAAGATAAAAAAATATACATATTAGATCTTGCTTTGTTAAGCATATTTTTATGAGTACAACACAACAAATGATATGTCAATCAGGGTTACGGTTTTGGAGAAAATTTGTTCTAAAAATTCGAACCAACCAAAGATTCCATGCATGCATGCTGGCTGTTTTTTGTTGCACGTGGCTAACCTAGTTGTTTTCTTGTTGGTACTAGATTCATTGGTCTGGATCATCACCATTGCCATGGCAATCATAGCGCCCTGGCGTACAAAGTCAACGACGTCTGATGTAAGAGGCTCCAGCAAGGAGATGGCTTCACTCAATCATGTTCAAGCATAGGAGATTCCAACAGCTAGAGCTGCACCATAACGGACATGACGATTGTATGATTCTGACGGCAGGGACACGATTCTGGGTGTCTGCTCAGGCTCGTTGCATTCATGTTGGGTAGTCAGTTACGACTGCTCTAGACGGCTGGTTGCATCATCGTTTGTATACAAGTTGCAACTCGTCCCTTGAACCGATTGCAACTTCCGTCGTACACAAATTGCAACATTGGTGATAGGCCAGTTGCATTCCGGTTGGGTAGGCCAGTTGCAATTGCCCTGGACGGCTGGTTGCAGCTCCGTTTCTATACCAGTTCCAACTCAGTCCGTCAGCCGCTTGCAACTTCAGTCGTACATAAATTGCAACTCTAGTGGTAGACCAGTCGTGACTCATGTGGTAGGCCAGTTGCATTCCGTGCAACGAGTGCACATACCCTCTCTAACCCCGTGGTCCACGCGCCAGCGCACGCCCGCAGGACCCTCCCCATATTTTCCTGCCAAACCTGTGCTCGTGCATGCAAAATTAAATGGACACAACCAACCATGTGATGGCACCTCACAGGTCAACCCACCCATCAGGAAGCATACATGGATGGAATCTTTTCTTGATTCGATTCGAAAAAATGTGATATCTCCTAAACCACTGATCCGTTTTTGAATCGGTTTGAAGTAGGTTGTTAAAAAAATGTGCTTAACAAAATGAGATCCATGAAGGCTATATTTGTTAATTTTTTTTAAAGTATGTAATTGCAACTAAGTTGTACAATGAGTTGCAAGCACGTCTGCAACACAATTACAACTTGGTTGTAGCCTATTTAGCAGAAACATTTTCAATGAACTCATGTAGAGTAAACAAGCAAGCAAGTAGGTAGAACAAACATTTTCAATGAACTGTCTCAGGTTGGCTCAGCAGCTCACGTTCCTTCATTCCTTGTGCACCGGACGACGCTGGCACAAAATTGCTTGTAAAGCTGCTTGCTCATAGGCAGATGTTTGGGTTGGCTGTGGGTGTGCTCAGAAGAAAATTTGTCGCAGGGAGCAAGGAAAATGTGTCAATGGTAGTTCTATTTCCACTCAACAAAGCATTGAGCCATCCTCAGGGACTTCACTTACAAATGATGTATAGGGTGAGAGAAAGAGAAAGAAAGAACTTCACTGAAAGGAAAAAAAAAGGAAAAAAACTAAAACAATCAGGCACGTACACACGGGAGTTGCTAGCAGCAAATAACACTACTGGGAATGCATGCGGTGAGTCTCGGCAGGCAGGCCAAGCATCACACGCATCTGCATTGATCAAACATGCGAGCAGGGAATCTATCTGATCTCTATGATCAGTACAACTACAACACCAGGCAGCAGTTGTACGTGACCGCGAATCCGTGGATGAACCGATGAACAAAACTAAACGAGAGCCAGGCCGGTGACAAGCATCCAAGAAGCGCATGCTAGCTCTGCGTGCTACCATGCATGCACGTACCAACTAAGCTTTGTGCGTTGCGTGCCGATGGGTCCTGCATAGACCGGTTGGAATCTGGTTGGGTAGGCCAGTTGCGACTGCCCTGGATGGCTGGTTGCAACTCCATTTGTATACCAGTTGCTACATAGTTGCAACCTAATTGCTACATAGTTACAATCAGTAACTCAGAGATGCGACTCCTTGTAAAAAATAATAAAATATATCAATATTGGATCTAGTTTTGTTAAGCATATTTTTTGAGTAAGATGCAGCAAACGGTTTGTTAATCGGGGTTACAGTATAGGAGAAAATTTATTTCAAAGAATCGAACTCACAAAATATTCTATCCATGCATGCATGCTGGCTGCTAGATGTATTTGTTGCACGTGGCTAATCATGAGTGGTGAGAAGTAGCAAATTAGCTATTGGTTGTCTCGGGTGTGCATGCATACTTGTTAGTTCGCTCTGCCTGGGTGCATTCTATACAGAGCCGGTTACTACATAGTTGTACATATAACCCGTTAATACACAGTTGCAACCCAATTGCTACTCTGGTTACAATCAGATATGATACCAACTCTGAATTGCAACTGAATCCGGTTATGAAGACCAGATGCAAAAGGTATACAAAGTTATAACTAGTTGCAACTCAGTAGTATACGGAGTTGCAATCAGTAACACACAGAGATGCAACTCATTGTAAAAATAATAAAATATATCCATATTGGATCTAGTTTTGTTAAGCACATTTTTTTGAGTAAGATGCAGCAAACGATTTGTTAATTGGGGTTATGGTTTAAGAGAAATTTTATTTTAAAGAATCTAACCCATAAAAGATTTCATACATGCATGCATGCAGTCTGGTGGGATTTGTATGCAACGTGGCTGTGCATGTTAGGTGGATAATACAAATTAACTAGGACGCACGCATGACATTTTCCGGGGTGATAGTTCACGTGCGGGAGGTGCGCTCGGATAGTGGGCTGATTCAGGTCGGTTGCACGGACTAGACGCACCGGATTGTCCGGGTGAATTATATATATTGCACCTGCAGGCCGGCCCGTTACTTTGTGCAGTTTAAAAAACAAGACAAATACTGAAGGCAACCAGGCTACGTTGCCGCCATCGTATCACCTCATGTGCAATAAAACATTTGACAGGCGTGCTTGACCAAGGAGTGATGAAATTTAGGTTTACAAATACGTCTTAGATTCGTAGATGTAATTTTTTAGGCGATTTTATCTTTCTCTAAGATATAATATCTTTCTTCCTCTAGCGCCATCCACTAATGCACTAACAAGGAAGTTCATGTGTAGGGATGAACCCCACCCCACCCGCCCCCCACCACCACTTTCATTGTCACAATTTTAATTGGAATGAAAATTTAAACCACGAAAACCGGTTGGGAAATGATACCAGGGTCTGTCCGAATGTTGAAAAAAAGGAGTATTCGACCAATAACATGTCGATAATGATAACATTAGGAAAGAAATGCATGTCCGCCACACACCACGAAGTCGAGGGACAGACAGTAATACAAGGAGTATTTTCAGAAATTGACATTTTCTATTAAGTCATGTATTTTCTAGAACTTGAACCCACAACCTCTAATCTTACATATTCACTCTCCATTACCACACACTAACTTATGATTTTGAATAGGATGTTATCTTTCTCTATTAACTTTTTGGGAATTTTGTATTAAATATTTGGACTCCTAAATGATTTTAAAATGAAAAAGTTTCACCTACAAAGTTTTAGATCTCACTGAGCTCTACAATTTTGGTATAGAGTGTGTCTCCATCAGAGATAGTTTAGAAACTTCGAGTATGAAAATCTAACAATTTTTAAAATGAATATTTGAGACTAAATATTTTTAAATAAAAACTTGTCAACTACAAAGTCATATATTGCATTGACAACTACATGTATAGCTCATGTCAACGTACAAAGTCATTTAAAAATTTTAATGTTTGAATTTCAAAATCTTAGAATATAAAACAGATATTTAAGAATCTATAAATGACTTCAAATCAAAAACTTGTTAACTACATAGTTATATATTATATTGAGAAGTACAACTTTGGTATGGACCTATACCATATTGAGAAGTACAACTTTGATTTGGACCATATCAACATCTAAGGTTGTTTCAAAATTCTCAAATTTAAAGCGATCTCCTTATGTCTGTTTTTGTAAATGATTAACCGAGGCGGCCGTTTGTAGACCTGCCTAAACATTTGTAAGAGACGGCTCCTAAAAATGCCCACCTCTGTTAATTAGAAAGTCTGTCTTCTGACATCCTTTTTTATAGCGAAAGAAGGGGGAAACTCTTGATGCACTAGGTGTTAACGGTGCATTGCTATGAATATTCGTGATGTTGTTAATAGTTTATTCTAGTTTGTGTTACCGGGCTTGAATGAGAAGCATATATATTGTTAAAATGCAATGGTTAGTCCTAGCATTTGATTCTTCAACACCCCCACACTCTCTAGTTAGTTCACTATCATTTAGTACTGCAGTTCCGAGCAAAAATAAATGTTAAAATTCACATTCTCAATGGTACATGTGCACTACACATTTATGGTATTAGTATGTGTCATCAGCTTATCTAGGATATGGATCAGTGAGTGTGACCTCGTTCACTGTGATACCTTCTTGGAAGATCACATCAGACCGGTCATAACCACAAAAGTGTTGCTGCTCATACGGCTGAGAAACAACAGGTGAGGCTCTCCAGAAGAAGAACGCAGGCTGTGCCGGTGCCTGGAGCTCCATGCTGTCCCTTGTCAACATGGAATAGACGGATGAAATATCAGGCCTGTCGTCAGGATCAGACTGGACGCAGAGCAGCCCAATTTGGATGCATCTTAGCGCTTGGGTTCGAGAGAATCCATCGAGGGTTTGGTCCACTAACTGCGATGCCATCCAGCATTTCCATACCTGCAAAAAGATGTTGGCCACCGGTTCGCGGTTTGTCAGTTGAAACTTCAGTTCATGATGTGGATTTCTGCAGTGCAAAATGAGGGTTACATACATCGCTCAGGAGATTCACGGTATCGCAGTCATTAAAACTGGCGTTCCTTCTCCGAGTTACAATTTCAAGCACTAGCACACCAAAGCTGAAAATGTCGATTTTTGGTGATACAATTCCGTGTATTGCGTACTCTGGAGCCATATAACCACTGCAGGTACGTGATGATCAGTTAGGCGCATTTGATACCTTTAATATATATTTGAAAGTTTAATACTTGAATGATCAGAGAGAGTACTATGTTCCAGCAACCGTAGCTGTTTTGGTCTGCGTATGGTCTCCCAGCAGTCTTGCTAGTCCGAAGTCTGAAATCTTTGGATCCGCATTCTCATCAAGCAGGATGTTGTTGGCTTTCAGGTCTCGATGAATGATCCTAATTCTTGAATCCTCATGAAGGTACATTATTCCCTTGGCAATGCCAACAATGATGTTGTCCCGCTGATCCCAAGTTAGCTTATTTCCCGTTTCAGTGTCTTCTGGACGAAATGATAAGTTATTAGACGGTTTTGCAAGACAGAACTAGATGATGCAACATGTCTGTTTTATTTGCTAGCCTTACATATGGACCAGAGGTAATTTGTTTGCAGGAAGTACAACAGTGAATAAGTCTATCACTGAACATGGTGCCCCAAATGTGAATGATTTATATTATCAGACCTTTGGAACATTGGCATGTGTTGTTTTTAACCACCATCCTACAGTGCTGAGTTTTATGCACAGCTGAAAAATATATATAAAGGTGCCAATGAAGTAGAGAAGATACCAAACAGAAAGATGTCGAGGCTTCCGTTCTTGATGTATTCATAAACAAGCATCTTCTCATTCTGATGCACGCAAAACCCGTGTAACCTGACAAGGTTCTTATGCTGAAGCGTTGCCAATACCTGCAATTCATTATGTAGCTGCAGCAGTCCATGTCCAGTAGCACTGTCTAAAAGTTTCTTTACTGCTACTTCTTGCCCGTCTCCCCTGGCACTAAGGCTGGACGAAAAACTCGAAGCTCGTTAGCTCGCTTGGCTCGTGGCTGGTTCGACTCGGCTCGGCTCGGCTCGTTAAGATAACGAGCCGAGCCGAGCCAAGATTTTAGCTCGTTCACTATAACGAGCCTACTCGAGCCAGCTCGCGAGCCGCTCGTGAGCTAAACGAGCCAAGCTTCCAGGAAAAAAAGTATCATTTAAGATAATTAGATGCATGAATACTATAGTATTTTATTATACTTCTATATATATTAGCGCATATTAATTTTTTTATTCAATTTAAGGTTGTTAGATTCATTTCTTTTGCATTATTATTATTCTCAAACTTTAGATAAATGTAAATATTATATTTTGTGTATTTTTTATACCTGCCTCGCGAGCTTAACGAGCCAGCTCGAGCTTTTAACGAGCCGAGCCGAGCTGGCTTTCTGGCTCGTTAGGATAACGTGCCGAGCCGAGCTAACTCGTAGCCAGAACGAGCCGAGCCGAAACGAGCCGAACCCACTCGTTATCCAGCCTTACCTGGCACAGATTCTTTCATCAGAATTTGACAAGAGAGCAATACTTGCAGTTCATTCATACAAGTCTTTATTCCCAAAACTAGGGATAAAAAGATATATATACAACCTTGTATACAATCGTTACGTTCGTTTGGGCTGGTTTGGCTTATAAGCCATGGCTGAAAGTACTATTGGCTGGTTTGGTATGAGAGAAAAATACTATTCATCGATTGATAAGTCATGGCTTATAAGCCAAATACGACAAAGCGAACAGGCTAAATACCGAAACCACCTTCGACGATCTTAAGGTCCTCTGAGAAGTTTTCAGTTGCTTCTTGCAGTGTAAAAAAGTCAAAGACGGTGCACTTCGCTCTGCCAATTTTCTCCAACGCTGTTGTGTGTTGTATTAGCACATATATAAGACATGTCAATGTACGGAAGAACGGAACATTCCAGTTCTTGAACAGACAGTAGTTATGCTACTACTCACAGCGACTGCGACCATTCTTTTTGGCAATCTTACTCCTGAAGCGAACCAGAGCGACAGCTGAAAATATCACTACCAACACGACGAAACAAGCGACCCCGGCGGCGATTCCTGCTGCTCTCCTCCTCCCTGCATGCACTAATGGAGACCCGTGAAAAAAGAAAACTAACTTGAGGCAGTAGTAGAATATCAGCAATTCTCACACAACTCAGAGAGATTTTCCTGCAGGAGGAAAACAAGCCATGGCGGGAAGCTACCTGCTCCGGTCTTTGGAGCAACAACTGAGGGCACAGCCGTGGGTGCTGGCGCCGGCGCCGGAGCCGGAGCCGGGAGGTGCAGCATCGCAGGGCCCGTGTAGAAAGGACTCACGCTGTACCTCAAGTTACACCACACACCAAGAGATCTCCCCGCGGGCTTCCCGTCCAGGAACCCCGGCATCGACGCGACGAGACTCCCGAGGCAGCCTCGGCACTGCACCGCCGTCATGTCGGGCACGCACTGCGCCAGCCCGTAGATTTTCGGGTACTGCTCCGCGTCGAAGTCCTCCACGCCCGTCGCGAAATACTGCCTGGCGGAGGAGTTATTGCTTGCCGCGGTCACACTCACAGCGCGGTCGACCGTGGCGTTCATAAGCGCCGCGACGGCGGCGTCAAACCAGGCCGCGGGAACCGTGAGGTTGTCCGAGTCCCACGACGACACGGCATAGGGCGAGTTCACGCCGGGGAAGTCTAGGAACCGCTGGTCTGAGAAGCCAACGATGCAGGCGTCCTGGTAGACGGTGACGTCCTTGCTGTTGGGGCAGGCCTGCTGTGCGCCGGGGAACGCGTCGGCGACGCACGCGCGGCAGGTTGGTGCGCCCGTGTCGCCGCGGCACAGCGCCAGCGCGGAGATCTGGTTAGGAAGCGCACCAACGGTGCCCACGGCGAAGCCGGCCGGCGTGGCCGAGGCGTTGGCGGGGAGCGCCGCGGCAACGAGCTGGAGGTTGGCTTGGTAGGTGCCGTTGGCCACGTAGGTGCCGCCTGCACATGTCGAGGACCGGTACGGTTGGGCTGCGGTGAGCGGCAGGACGACGAGGACTACGGCGGCAACGGCGACAATAGATAGCCGTTCGTTTGGTCTAATTCGACTTATAAGCCATGGCTTATCAGTTAATGAACAGTATTTTTCTTTCACACTAAATCAGCCAACAGTACTTTCAGCCATGACTTATAAGTCAAATAAACCCAAACGAACAGGATAAGAGTAGGTACCAACCATGTTAGCCGCAGAAATGATACTCTTGAGCTGCCTGGAACCGGAGCTTGTGTGGATTATCTTGTTTTAACGACGAGGAAAATTCACCGCCGGTCCTCAACTTGGCCGTAAAATTATATCTGTGGGTCTCTGAATTTGACAAATGGTGTCATCCAGGTCCCTAAACTTTTAAGGTGATCACCGTGGGTTCCTAAACTTGGCTGATGGTGTCATCTCCGTCCCTGAACTTTCAAAGTGATCACCGCAGGCCCCTAAACTTGACAAAAGGTGTCATTCCTATCCAAATATAATAATATTAAAAGTTACCTATAGTATTCAAAGTTTTCTCTATTAAAAGTTACTTTTAATTTTAATATTATTTTAAAAGTTTTAATAGTAGTATTATAGAAGTAACTTTTGTCCGTTATTAATACTATAACATTATTATTAAAACTTTTAATACTATAATACTACTATTAGAAGAAATAGTATATAGTATTATAGAGAAAAGTTACTTCTATAATATTACTATTAAAACTTTTAAATGATACTAAAATTAGAAGTAACTTTTAATAGAGAAAACTTTTAATACTATAGGAATTTTAATATTATTTTAATACTATTAATGATACATAAATACTAAATTAATTTTAGTAATTTTCTATTTTAGTTTAAACCTAATATATTTATTGTTGTAAATTATTTTAATACTTTAATTTTTTTGTTGGCGCAAATTATTTTATATAATTCATATTTTCATGATAAATATTATATAAATAATGATTGATTAATTGACATATGTTGGATCTACGTCTAATGTACAGTCAGCTTGTTACGCTAGTTTATAGTGTAGGTTAGACCATATTTGGATAGGGATAATACCGCTTGCCAAGTTTAGGAACTTGCGGTGATCACTTTGAAAGTTCAAGGACCGAGATGACACCGTCAGCCAAGTTTAGAGACCTGCGGTGATCACCTTGAAAGTTTAGAGACCAGGATGACACCGTCTGCCAAGATCAGAGACCCACAAATATCACTTTAGAAGTTCAGGAATCTGGATGACACCGTCGATCAAGTTCAGGGACCGACGGTGAATTTTTCTTTTTAACGATTATGGAAAGCATTTCGCGTGACTTTGACTAGTCAATAGACCTCGCCCGCCATTAAAGACGCAAGGTCATTGCCCAAAAAGATTGTTTAAGGGCAGTCCCAGTGCTAGAAACAACTATAGTTTCCATAGCTCTAAGACTCCACCATTAGAAACCATCCTTCTCAATATAAGTTTGTACAAGTAGTTTCAATAAAGAAAGAAATTTAATGCACAGTTGTATGCAACACAAACAAACAAGGATCAGCTGTGCCCAACATTATAGTCTTTCTTGATGTACAATATTGGAATTCAAAGTAAAGTAGGTAGCAACCGTTTGAGTTCAAAGTAAAGTAGGTAGCTACGAAGATACATCATTTGAGTTCAAATAAAGTAGGTAGCAACGCTGATAAGTTTACAAAATACAATTTCACAGCATTTTGCAATAATTTTATACTAAAACATGTAATATTATATATTTAATGCATAGATATAGTAACGAGGAGTTCAGTAAAACTTGATTTTCCATTTTATCATTTTTCTACAAGTTTCTACAATTTTTCAAATATTCAACCAATTTAAAACATAAAACAAAATCAAAAGGCCTAACAGGACAAACACTTTGCGCTACAGCCCCTGCACTTTTCTTGAATCAACCTGTAGTACAAGAACATTATTCGATACTATTCATTTGAGTCACAATTTTCGTAATAAACCCCCTGATAAAGCTTATATATATTCTCTTTTCCGGTCCTTCCCCTCACCTTGAAGTAGAGCAGAGGGCAGGGGAGCGTCGGGGCGTGACCGATTTGATGTGGCGTGGATCGCTGGAGAGGGCGAGGGCGGAAATCTTCGGGTACGAACGGTCGTACCGGATGCACGCGCTGAATTTATCCTACGCAAATCATCCGTTTGTTGAGCTGGCTTGCACGGCGAGGCCCACGCGCGGCACATGCAGGAGCGAGCGCACGCGGGATTTCTGGCTACGCCACGTATGTTTTCTTCTTTTTTTTTCTTTTCTTTCTTTTATTTTTTCTTTTATTTTCATTTTTCCTTTCGTGTTTCATTTTTACTTAAATTTATGTTTTGTTTCATGTGACTTTTTATTATTCTTTTCATTTTAGTTATTTTTCTTTTATTTCTTTTCTTTTCTTATTATTTTTCATTTCCTTTCTTCAATTTTATTTTTTATTTTTGTTTATTTTCATTTCATAAGATTTTCAGTGCTTTTTTCATTTTTATATTATTATTTATTTTATTTATTTATTATTTTACTATATTTAATTATTTTGTTTGTTTTTTTTTTTTTATTTTTATTCTTTTTTTTGTATTTATTTCTTTTTTCTTTTCTCTTTTTGTCTTTATGTTTTCTATAGATTTTTTATTTTTATTTTTTCTACTTTAGCTTACTTAATTTTTTTCATGTTTAATTTTTATTTTCTATATCCCATGAGATGTTATTTTTATAGTGTAGACTTGATGTTCTATGGTGCTTGTTTCGATGTTCACGTGGTATATAATGACATGTTTTGTGATGTTTTTCTGATGTTTATGTAGTATACATTTGATGTTCTATGACTTTTTTTATGATGTTCGCGTGTTATACATCTAATGTTCTATGATGTTTTTTTTTTGACGTTCACATGATATACATGTGATGTTCTATGATGTATTTTGTGATGCTCGCGTAGTATACATGTGATGTTTTATGATATTTTTTTGTGATGTTCACATAGTATACATGTGATGCTATATGATGTATTTTGTGATGTTCATATAATATATATGCGATATTCCATAATGTATTTAGCGATGGTTTATAATGTATTTAGTGATGTTCACTTAGTATAGCTGTGATATTCTATAGTATATTTAGGAATGTTCGAAAAGTATCTAACTATTACGTTTTTTTCTTATGCTTTACTCTAGATTTAATTATTATTTATTTTATTTTATGTTATATTATTTATTTATTTATTTATTTATTTTTATGTATATTATAATACCAATAACATGAATCTAAAACTATAATAATGTTCTTCTAAACGGAGAACATTTTTCTTACGAAGACGGAACATTATTATCTAAATCTAGAACATTGTCTCTGCTCAATAATGCTCTACCCTCATAAGATAAATCTTCGTTAATAAAAATTTATCTAAATATGCCAATATGGAATCATATTTTGAAGGATTTATTGTAAGAAATACGATAGTGCAATCGAAATTTAATTAGGATGTTTGGTTTATCAGTTATGACTTTTTTTTAGTTTGTGCTGCGTGAGCAGAGAGGGACGTGGGTGAGATGGGCCTTATCTGCGCTAATTAACTGCCAGCGTCAGGGAAACAGGCGCTACCTGCATGCCGACATGCAGAATGAGTGAGGCAGCTTTGGTACGCGGCCTGACGCGGAATCAAATTATTGCGAAAATTATTATTTTCTGGAGACCACGCGCGCGGGGGGAACTATCGGCGCGTTGTTTCCGTCTGATCGGCCGGACTCCAACACGGCCCGGGCGAGGGTGGTGCGCGGGGGCAGCAGCGGCCCCGGCCGCTTGGGTGGGCGGCGGCAGCTCTGCCGAGCGCGGTCGGTGGGGTCCGGACACGCGCGGTCGTGGCCGGGCGGCTGGCAGAAGCCCGCACGAGAGATGGCGGCCGTGGCGAGAGTGAGCGCGGGAAGGATGGCGGCGGCAACTGGGAGGAAGACGCACTGGATCTCGGGGGCTCGATGGAAACTATGGCACTCTTCCCCAACGCGGACGACAGTGGTTTCTTGTGCATCGATGGAAGTGTAGACGTCGAGTCTAGGTTAGACTCGGTTTCTTGAGTTTTGACTCTCTTTCTTCAATAAATACAGAGTCTAGGTTAGACTCGGTTTCTTGAGTTTTGACTCTCTTTCTTCAATAAATACAGCATCACATCAGCAAAATGAATTTCTTGAGTTTTGATTCTCTTTCTTCAATAAATACAGCATCACATCAGCAAAATGAATTTCTTGAGTTTTGATTCTCTTTCTTCAATAAATACAGCATCACATCAGCAAAATGAATTTCTTGAGTTTTGATTCTCTTTCTTCAATAAATACCGCGTCACATCAGCAAAATGCAATAAATAGGAGGATAATAAATGACCATAAAAACCATGATAGAGTCTACATTGGAAGTGCCCTTACCCAACCAAACCAAACCTTTCATTAATGCAACAAGAGAATAATCAAATGGTACGGCAGTATTATTGTTGTCAGTTGGCCAGTTGGCTTCATCTACTGATCTGAAGATTTTTTAGAACAGGCTGATATGAAGATATAGATAATGAAGAAAACAAAGTCATAATTGGCTTGTAATAAGGACTGCAGCAGGAGGAAGGTGCTGGTTTACACTTTACAGGCGTGACTGCCACCCAATTGACCGCTCGATCGGAGCAAGCCGGTTGTGACGTCAAGTCGTCGTTAACCTGCTTCTCAGCTTGGCAAGTCGATTCCCCTTGGTGCATGCACCGAACAGATCGGCTGAGTCAGCTCGGGGCCCACTGCTACGTTGTCATTGTTGCCTGCTAGCTACAAGTTCCCCGCACCCTTAACTGTCTACAGTGTGAGCGGTGCGGGAAAAAATTTTAGTCTGAGCACCGATGCTTCAGCCTCTCAATTCTCACATCGTGGGCACCGGTGCTTCACTGTGCTTGTGGACCCCGTCGTAGCGGCCGCAGAGGCAGAGGCGAACGAAGAATAATATTTTTTAACATTTGAAGCACCGGTGAACGAACATGCATCGGTGCCCACTTTTTTTCATCTCAACACCGGCTACAACGTGGGCATCGGTGCTAAAGAGTGTTTGGGCACCGGTAAAAAGCAACGTTGTGGCTAGTCTTAGGCAGGTTCCTCACTCGCTTCGTACGTCAGATCCTTGGACGAGCGCCGCCACTTGTTTAGATTGCAAGTTTTTTCACTCTCTCTTCATCACATTACATCTTTAGACACATGCATGGAGTATTAAATGTAGATAAAAAAATAACTAATTACACAGTTTGATTGTAAATTACGAGATGAATCTTTTGAGCCTAGTTAGGTCATGATTGGACAATAATTATCAAATACAAATGAAAGTGCTACAGTGCCAAATACTAATTCCAAACATCAATCTAACACAAGGCCCAGGTTGCTGCCGCCAAGATTCTTCACTGAGGTGGCCGGCGGCGCGTTAGTTCGTGCGACGAGGAAAGGAAGATGCCGATCAACATTTATGTGCGAAGTAAAATAACTAAACTACCCTCAGGAGGAACCACCGGTTCCTCTCGAGCACCATAACAAATCTCAAAAAATTATATTAATAAAGGTCGAATTCGACACCACTTGGCACCACGACTGCCTAAGTCATGAATCCAAGGATCAAAGTCATATAGGAGGGAACCACGACATAGAGGTGATGGGCGGGGCAGAATCGCAGAGGACGGAGGCAATGAAACCATGCCAAAGGAGGTCGGATCTAGCCACTACTGATATGATGACTGGCGTTCTGTCCAAAGATGACCATGGAGCCACGAGAAACGGCAGTGGTGACCAGAGAGAACAGGGGTGAGGGGTGAGCAAGTAGATAGGGGGAGACATGCGCAACATCCAGCTTCGGTGCCGCCGCTGTGGCGCTGTTAGATGGTGCCTTATCCATGTATGTACTGAAATAATTTTGTGTTCCTACCATCCCAAAACCATCAACTATCAGCAGGTCGGCCTTAATCCGCTTATGGATCGCCGAAGGCCGAACCCGCTTATGCATTGATCCTGAGAGCCTGACACTGAAAGCGGTCGCTGCCACTCTGATTTGTGGCAGCTGATCGGCAATGAAAGTGTGAAAATAGTGAAAGCGTGTCTTCCCCCTTCCATTTACCAGCATTTTTAAGAGTCGCTCGTCATTGATGTCCTTCCGCGGACTTGATCAGCACGACTGTTATCCTTGGCATGTTTGATGAACCTGAATATATATATATATATATTTCTCTTGGCACATGACTCCAATGTACTGGTCTACTACTGGATACACAAGATGCCATTTCTCTGAACGAGGCTTACCAAACCTTCCATTTGTTGATATATATATATATATATATATATATATATATGACGAATTAATGCAACAAGAGAAGAATCAAATGGTACGGCAGTATTATTGCTGTCAGTTGGCCAGTTGGCTTCATCTGCTGATCTGAAGATTTTTTTAGAACAAGCTGATGAAGATGCTGGTTTTTATTAGACAATCTACTGCTACCTTGTGTGAACACAGTAAGGGAAGACGGTGTCGAAAGGTCTCACTGCATGTGCCTACAGTGCTGCAAGTGAGCCATGCGGTGCCTGCACCTACAGCAGCTACAGTATCATAGTAGAGGGACCTTTCGGCGCCGCCTTCCCTTGCTGTGTTCACACAAGGTAGCGGTAGATTATCTAACAATCTTCCCATAATCCTACTGCTAACCATTGTACCTCCTCCATACCGATCATCTCCTTTAGCTCCGTGAGTCGAAGACGTCCGAGTGGCTTGGTGAGGACGTCCGCGAGTTGCCGACCAGTTTCGACGAACTCGATGACGATCCGCCCTCCATCGACACAGTCCCTGAGGAAGTGGAACTTCACGTCAATGTGTTTGCACCGGTCGTGTAGAACCGGATTCTTCGCGAGAGCGATGGCAGGCTGGTTGTCCACCATCAGTGCTGGTGGATGAGCTTCCACCGGTCACTCGCCCGGCGGCCGGCAGCGACCACACAACAACGCGCGCCGCGGCCGCCATTGCTTCGTGCTACTACGCCTCGCCAAGACGTAGATTGCGCCACCGCCTTCTGTTTCAGCGACAGCCATGAAATTGGAGCCGACCCGAGGAAGACAAGCACGCCAGAGGTGCTTCGTCGTCCGTCGATGTCCCTCGCCATGTCTGCATCGCTGAACACAGTGAGCTGTAGCCTACTCCCGCC